CCCCATTTTGAAGAGGTAATGACTTTTTATTACCTATGAATAAATTAAGATGGTGGTCATTTTTTATATATAATAATGTATCTCTATTTGTATATTAAGATACCCCAGGTAGCTCTGCTTATTTGAAAATAAAATTACTTTTAATTCACTTCAGGTAAAAATGCTTATCCTGTAGCTGAATTGTTGAGTATAATAAAGTTAGCTAAATTGCCAGTTACAATTCCCAAAATGTTGGGAATCATAGCAGGGCAGGTCTTTTCTCTTTTAGGCAGAGATTTATATTAATACTAATAGGTATTTATTTAGTTAGTCAACTAGTGTTTACTAAACACCTACCATATGCCAGGCACTGCTCTCAGCATTACAGATCCAACAGTGAGTGAAATCCCTCAGCTAGATTCTAGATCGAGCAGACAATCAACAATTACAAGAACAGGAACACTTTAGATAGCATTAAGTGCTTTGAAGACAATAAAACAAGATTATGTGATAGATATTATGAATGCTGGTTTTTAGGTTGTGTCATCAGTAAAGATCTCTCTGAGGTGATGACATTTGAGCAGCAACCTGAATGCTACAAAGGTATTGGCCATGCAAAGAGAGGGTCAGAGTGTTGTAGGCAAAGGGAACAACAAAGCACAAAGGTCCTAAATTAGGAACAAGCTCTGTGTGATCAAGAAACAGAAAGATGGCTGATGTGGCTAGAAGGACGAAGGAAATGATAGTGCCAGGGTCAGAGGAATGGGCCTTCATATAGGGCCTTCTCAGAATTTAGTTTACATGCAGTATAAGAACCAAAGTAATAAGTAACAAGGTATGATTTATATTTTAAGAAGATCCCCTTGGCTATGGTGTAAAAAATGAATTCTGAAGAGACCAAAAAAGGAAGAAGGGAGAAAGTTAGAAGGCTATTTGCAATAGTCCATGTGAGAAATGATGGTGGATTGGAAGAGTGGTAGCAGTGGAGATGAAGAGAAGTGGGTGGATTTGGCATTAATATAGAACTGATAGGACTGTTTAACTTACAAAAATAGTTAACATACCAACAATAGATAAGTAATTCTTGATTTCAAAGCAGATACAAACTCATCAAATTTCCAGATAGCCCTCTGGAATAGACCAGAGATAAGCAGAGTTAGTTAGCCCTATCTTATTCCAATTACACTTGTCCATACCACAGTTTAGTTTTCCCATACTTATTAGAGTATAATTTAGTTCCTTTAAAGCAAGAAGTATACCTTGTTGCATCTTCAGAACCTTCCAAAATATGTG